CCCTGCAGCGTGTCTCACACTCTCTCCCTGCCCGCCGCGTCTCACTCGCTCGGCCCTACCGCGTCTCACACGCTCTCGGCTCTACCGCGTCTCACATGCTCTCGGCTCTATCGCGTCTCACACGCTCTCTCTCGGCCCTACCACGTCTCACACGCTCTCGGCTCTACCGCGTCTCACACACTCGGCCCTACCGCGTCTCACACGCTCTCGGCTCTATCGCGTCTCACACGCTCTCGGCCCTACCGCGTCTCACACGCTCTCTCCCCGCCCGCAGCGTCTCACACGCTCTCCGAGCAGGCGGCGTTCATGCTGAGGCCCCCGAGGTGCGGGTCGATGCCGATGCCGCCGACGCTGACGGACGTCGGCCACGCCATGCCGCGCTGCGCCTGCAGGTCCTGGGCTTCCTCGTCGAGATTCTCGATCTCGCGATCGATGCGCTCGAGGTGGTGGCTCGTCAGGCGGCGGTAGAAGAACAGCGCGAACGTGACGAACACGAGCACGGTGGGCACGAGGATCGCCGTGCACACGATCGCGGTCACGCGGCTCGTGTTGTAGAAGCGCACCCACGCGACGAGGCCGATCTCGGCGAGGAACAGCAGGATGCCGAGCCCCGTCGAGAACATCCACGCGAGGTCGATGTAGTAGCGGAACTTGTCGTGCGGCGACTCCTTCGCGCCGGCGACGCCGAGGTGCGTGACGGCTTCGATGTGCGGCAGCAAGCAGGTGCTGATCATGAGCGCCATCAGGTGGACGACGACGACGAGCGTCGTGCAGACGCCGAACGCGAGCAGGAGGCCGTTCGGAACGCCGTGGTCGCCCGACGAGTCGAGGTTCAGCTCGATCATCGCGATCTGCGGCGCGCCAGCGCGGGAAAAGAAAGAAGACGATGAGATCGACGGTCGTCCTGCTTGCAATGTTACGGTATAGCGATTCCCATCCCGGTCACAAGTAATAGTAGGAGTAGTAGCAGTAATATTAGTACTAGTAGCAGTAGCATTACTACTGCTAGTAGAAGTATCACGTATACGACGGCAAACGAAACTAATACTAATAGTAGTAATAGTAATACTAACATAATTCAATCTGTAGGCCTATATCTCTAGGCCTATGTCATTTTGGCCAGTCCTGCGTTCGACTGACATGTGATGACGATGTACTATTGCTAATAGGGTCTATGTCCCCCAGGGTACTGCCGGAACGTACCCTGGGTATGGCCCGGTATACCGGAACGTACCCTGGTAACTATCTAGCTGATATGGTTAGGGTTAGGATTAGGGTTAGGGTTCGGGTTAGGGAGTAGGCGTAGGCGACTTTCTAGACTCGTTAGTGGAGTAGGCGAGGTACGGTCCGGCATATTAGATAGTACCAGGGTACGTTCCGGTATACCCCACCGTACCCAGGGTACGTTCCGGCAGTACCCGGGACCCCGAGGGACATAGACCCTCTCAGCACTAGTAATACTAGTAGTAGTAGTATTACTACCTACTAATAACTAGTAATAGTACTATAAGTATAACTGTTATAAGTATAAGTATAAGTCTATATACACGTGGGAACCGCCGACATAAAACAACATGCACGGACATTAATTAACTGTTACCAAGGCAAAGCCGGAAAGAAGAGCAGACGTGCTGTGCGATGCACGAAGCTTCGATCGACCGAGATGAAGTCGTCTGTACGAGAGAGCCTCCGGTGACGACACCGGGTTCTTCATTACCGACGGATGCTTTAGAAACTCTTTCAGTAACTGCTGTAGCAGCGCCTCTTCGTAGTATTTCTTTGACCCTATCATGTAGCTTGCGCCACCTATAGCTACTATACTTTATCTATGTTTAGAATGACCTATTTTCGGTTCGTTATCTTCACTTCACTTGCGACTTGTAACTTCTACTGGGCTCCAACTTCGCTTAGCGTTGTGTTGACGTCACCAATGTTTACGTGCAGAAACAAGTGAACAATTGATCAGCTTGGCAAATTTATTTTATTAATAATAATTTAGTTAGGTAGAAGTTGCTACTCATCATTTTTACAAGAAATTAATAATGTTATTCAAAATAAAACGGTATGATAATTCATTTTGTATTATAGTAAAAAGAAAAAATTAAATATTTAAAATAGGTATCGTCATCGTTCTCACCCTACTTAAAGATTAATAAGGATGGCTAAATCAGTAAATGAGTTCCACGTACGAAACAGAGTAATAAAATATCTAACCTACACATAGAATTAATTGACCCATGTGTTTAAAATTACAGTTTATATGAAGAAAAGATCACACCGGCAATAATTATTGTGAGCAGGGCCGGGTGAATAATGAACGACCAACTGATAGCTAGTTTTATGCATGATCAGGATATATTGTAGAAATAATATGTTGTGCAAGCCTACGCACACATTAGCTTAGCCAAGCCAGAGCACGTATATCATATGATATACGTGCTCTGGCCAAGCCTAACTTATATTAGTTTACTGTTGTATGAAGAAAGGAGTTGCATTGAGAAAGCATAGATCACACATCACGCATCACACACGGCAACACGTTATATCACAGTTCACAGCCGCCCCGTATATTTCAAACAGAATCAGAACCAGGGGCGTAGCTACGGGGGCCTGGGGGGGGCAGCCGCAGGTGCCCCCCACAAATTGTCTCTGCCCCCAGGTGCCCCCCACTGAAAATTCATGCTTGATAAAAAAAAAATTGAATTAAAAACAATGCCGTTAGAACAGTATAATACAAAGAAAAGTTATATATTGTGCCCCCACCCCACAAAAATGTAAAGTTCCCCAGTGCCCCCCCCCCCGCTGAAAAAATTCTAGCTACGCCACTGATCAGAAGTACAAATAATAGTGATTTTGTAACAAATAAAACTGAATTCCTATTAAAATTTGTTTGGGTAATTAAGTTGAAGTTTTATTTAATGAAGAAGAAATACTAGAACAAGAACAATATACTAACACGAATAACAATTTTATCTCGCGATGCAAATTGTCCACGGGGTTGACGCTGTGTTGGCGCTTACACATTTGCTTCACATATCATACGGTGTTGTACCGGTGATATACATCCAGTGCCGTAGGCTGAGCAAATTCCTGAGGAAGAGGGCGAAATTTTCAACAAAATAAATAGCATGGCGGATAGGGTTAGGCTGAAAAGATAATTGTCGTTATGTAAGTGCTAATTAATTGTTCTTGTAAATTGTAGACAATTGTTCCATCAGTTATTACATTTTTTCGGGTTACCTACGCGTTTTCTTTATCTTGGTCCAAAATCTAGGTGGCAGCTGCCCCCTTGGCTTTGCTCTCAGAGGCAGCGCAGATAACGAAAGTCGAAAGCGAAACCGATTAATTTTTACATGCATGATACGGTGCAAAAACAATCCATTTGTAATAGGCGCTTTGCCGAGCACGTCTCCACAGGCGGTTATGCTAACGATCCTACATATTCTAGCTACGAGTGTGCATGCTATCAGCTGATTGCAAAATAATTATCGTTCCCATAGCGTTTGCCGGCTTTTTTTCTGGTCACGTGCGCTCAACAAACTGACGTCACAGCGTGTAAGTTTCCGAGCGCGAATGTTTTCCACCATCTGAAGTTTTCCAGCGTAATTTCGCAGAAAGTCTGCACGGGAAACGAATGGAGGCGAGGTATGTAGGCAGAACATCGTATGTTGAATTAGGAGTAGCCAGATAGTCGGCCGACCGCTGTAATAACACTCAGTCGGACACCGGTCATTCCAGAACACGATCTGTCGATCGAAAACACTGAGTGAACGGCAGGCAGACGAGCGCTCCAGTTCAGTAGCTAACTGTGCGTTGTGCAGTCTTGCGTCGGCGAAGCTACCCTCCGCTCATCACTTCGTCTTTGGCAGTCGTCGGTTTTTCGGTAAGTTATGCGCCCAAGCTGCTGTCGTGGTTGTGTGTTTTTTTCGCGGAGAATATTCATGCAACGGCAATTTTCACGCGGTGTTAGAAACGGTGTTATACAGGAACGGAAAGGCGTTATATTCGCGGTCGGTCCACTAGCGACATGTAGGCCCTACATTGCATTTGCACGCACGGTATACCGGCATGTTTGCTGTGTGTTGGGGGGGAGGGGGGGTCGGTGTTGTTGGTTTTCCTCTGTTGTTTTTGTTGCGAGGAAACAAACACATCTAGTCCAATGCAATGGAATGGTCCGATGTGGGTCTAAAGGTTAAATGCTAAATTTAGTTCGGCCAGTCATTCTTCATAGCTAAATTCACGTGTGAATTTATGATGACAGAACACGTGTGGTGAAGTGTTCGTACATAACACAATACACGTGTATTATGTTTCACTGGCAGCTGATATATTTTGAATTCGTGGAACGATTAATATATAGCCTATGTGGTGTTGGAAACGGCCACAAATCTGTCGTGCTTCACTAGTGTTGGGCCATGCCGATTGATCATTCCTCAAGTACATGTAGTTAAAATTCTTGTACGGTGTATACTACAGCCAGAATAGGTCAGTTGGTACCGTATGTTTCTAAATACGGCATGCGGCTAAAGTTGCATGTACAAGTTTAGGCATGGGCACAGTGGCACTAACGCTCGAGGGGTCGTTGTAGCAGGTACTACAGATATATGTACCCGAGGTACATATATCTATACACAAAGTGTACCAGACTTGTACTACAGAAGTGTACCCTAACCCTAACACTAACACTAACCCTAACCCTAACCCTAACCCTAACCCTAACTCTAACTCTAACCCTAACCCTAACCCTAACCCTAAACATACCTCATATAAAAATATAAACATAATACTATATAAACAACCTAAAACTACCTCGGGTACATATCTGTAGTACCTGATACGACAGCGACCCCATCTGCGGCACTAACATGTATTATCTCTGTGAAAAGAACTCAATTTACAGCTGTGTTCTCTCTTTCTTCTTGTCTCAGATATAGAGGTTCTATACATGTACATTCGGCCCATGATCATTTATTCTTACTCTACATAATATTTTACACTCGATTATATTAGGCTGAAAAATGTGAGAACTGTCTGACAGCTTGCCGTACGTGTAACATATTCGTGAATTTCACACGTAATGTTTGAGTTACTCTGAACACTGTTGCTGTAGATAGTGATCTCCATGTGCTGTGATGCTTGAGTAAATCTACAAAATTTAGTGTGGGTGTATATATACATGTTATAAAATTATTTTAAAGTTGTTCGTAAGATTTATATATAACTCGGTGTGCATGCATGTACTCACTGAGAAAACCACATCTCTGCGACAGCAAGAAGATAAATGATTTCATTGCAGAATATTTCGTTCTGTACGTGGCATAATGATTTGGCTCAGTGAGATCTTAGCTACATCTAGCAGGCATGGGTCCCTGTGTGCACAGGTAGTCAGTCACACACACGTGCTCACGTAAATAATCTGACAGGTGGGTAAATAGGAGTAAAGTTGACAGTGTTAGTTTTCAACTCTGCGAAAATGACCTTCCTAAGCTGTTGTTAGGAATGTGTGTACAACACGATTAGCATGTTATCGTGTACTCTAGTTGCATTTGTTCATATGCTATATAATTTTTTGTAAATACGAAATCAAAGTTTTATCTGATAATTTCAAAACACATGCACACACACACACACACACATACACACACACACACACACACACACACACACACACACACACACACACACACACACACACACACACACACACACGCATGTGCATATAATGTATTATATATGTTAGTTGATCGAGCTATATATATCAGGAGTAGATAATACCCTATTATCTACTCCTGATATATATATATATATCAAGAGTAGATAAATAACAAGAGTAGTTATTTATCTACTCTTGATATATATATATAGCTCAAAATAACATATATGTACATGATGTTCTACTGCTACATACTTGAGTATGAGAAATACCCCAATATTTGAGATGGTATAAATATATGCTATTTTGTTTACAAATGTGAAAAATAAATTTAGGTGGTGAATGTTAGTTCAGTGGCGTATCTAGGGAGGGGGGCAAGGGGGGCACGTGCCCCGGGCGCCATGTTCAAGGGGGCGCAAAAAAGGCGAAGGTAAAAAAAAACGCAAAAAGGCAAAGGAAAAAAAACAATCTGCCTACTAAATGATATCTTGAAATAATTCAATCCTTTATTTGACAAGTTGATTACCCAGGGGCGTGTACAGGTGGGGCCAGGGAGTCCGGACCCCCCCCCCTGCTTGCGCAGAAAACTCATCTAAGGGGGTCTAATTTCAAAAAAATTCCCCCAGACCCCCCCTTCGCGTGCTCACAAATTTGGGTTACGGTTAGACCCCCCCTGGTACAAATTCTGTACACGCCCCCTGTTACCTGGACCTGGGATAGTAGCTGTAGTTTAGAAGTATTGGCATCCTAATCTGAGGAACAACCAAAAACTCAACATTCCATTTTTTTTGTTAATATTTTTTATTGGCGTCAGAAGTTGGAAGGGGCGCAATTTTAGCACTTGCCCCGGGCGCTGTTTTTCCTAGATACGCCTCTGTATATGGTATCGAGAGAGAGAGAGAGAGAGAGAGAGCGGGGGGGACTAATTTGCACAGCATTAAAACTTTAATCAGCCTAAATTATACGAATTACTGGATGAAAAAAATCAGCATCTTGTCAAACATTCACAGAAAAATATCTATTAAAAATAGTAACTTCTGGTTTTCTACTGAAAAGAGGAAGGAAGATGGAGCAGGATAGGAGTAGCAGAGGAATTAAAGAAGAAATTAAGGACCTCCTTTAATCTCTCCTCAACACTGTGTCTTCCTCTCTCCCCACCTCTATCCCCTCCCTCTTCCTCCTAGCTTCTCTTCAACATTCCTCCTATCACACCGTCTAGCGCTTATACCTCCCATTTTCCTCATATG